CGGCTAATTGCCAAGTCAGAGGAAGAGAAAACCACAGCAACAACTTATCTTGCTTTCACATCAGAACACTAGCCCAAAGATGAGGGTCAGCATTCCTGTTCTGTCCTGGGCAGGCGACTAGGAAGAGAGCAAGTGCTACCAGAGAAAGGACAAGTAGACTGGAAACAGTGGCTACTAGGGTACAGGGCAGAGCCTGACATTTTCCAGGAACATGAGAACTGGCTTCACGCTTCTCAAACAATACTAGAAAGTTGGGAAGGAATGGAAAATGCTTCCAAACCCTGAAAAGATGCTTTTTTGGAATTCTACCTTCATTCAGTCCCTAAATACGAACATAGAAAAGGCACTTTGGATCAAGTGTCAAAGTTCCAGACTATAGGCAGAAGAACCAGGCCGATGGGAACATGGAGGCTAACAGCCTATCCCCAGGCACATCTCTGGAAGGTGCCAACACCAGGATGCCCTAATACTTACAAGCAGCCTGGACAAAGACAACTGGCAAAAAAAGAAATAAAAAAAGTCACACTGGTTCAGTCACAATATACAGAGAGAAAACACATTTAAAGGGAGAGAGGGGAGACAGCTAAGAATAAAAACACAGGGCATGGTGCCCACCGGCAGCATTTAGTCATGCATGTAAAGAACAAATGATCTCACATATATCATGTGGACACGGGGATGGGGTCAGCATGAGCATGGTAGAGGGGGAAAGAAAGCAAATGCCTGATCACTTTCCAAAGAATGAAGTCACTAGTTACAGCTCCATCTGACAAATCAAGAAGCGTAGAATTCAGAAGTACAGTAAGACCCAAACCACCAAAATCAGAATCCCAAAGTAGGGTGTCTGGTGATAAGTGCAGGGGGAATGGTGGCAGAGGAGGCTGCTGAATAATACCTTGAGGAGGTTATCTGACCAGAGACCTTGTAAAGACTCATCAGATCTGCTCCAATTCTATCCAGGTTGAACACCGGAAGCACCACTGGTAAGCATTTTGAACCTCTGCCAGGTATGTGGAAGGTTGTGGTGAATTTCAATTCACTGTGCACTGCCTTAAGTACTTCCTGGGTTGATGATGCAAAGGCTAGGGAACATAATGCAGATAAAAACACCTCTATCTGCATGAAGAAGAACTCAAGTGCAACGTTGAGTCAGTCTAGGGTAACACATACTCACAGAAGGTACATGAGGGTGAGGACAGCAGGTTAGTCACAACAGTCGAAAAGGTTAGGAGAAAGATGGGGGCTCAGAGAACTTGAGCTCTGCTGACAGAACACAAGGAACATTTCTAGAAAGCATACTGAAGGTAAAGGTGCTATAGTTGTGTGTGTTTGTGTATCATCACACAGAGGTAACAGGGATGTTCTATTGTGGGGGGGGCAGGATTATTAAAAAAGAGAAACAGAGATTAGAAATCAGAGGCATACCAGGACCAGACAATAAATCTTCACTGCTGAGGACAACACACTTTGGCTGCAGAACACAGAGAAATCAAGCTGGAACCAATATGAAAACATCCCCTCTGCTGGCCAAGCTTTCATTGTGGCAAAAGGTGTTACACAGGCCACTGGGGTGAAAATTCATTGATGGTATGTATCCTTGCAGGTAACCCTCACGCTACATATAATATCAACCTTCCAGGCAAGATGTCACAAAAGTTATAGAGGGCAACCAACTGCTTTGGATTGGTCTGAAACCTGACCCACAAGAATGAATTCAGACCAACTGCTATAAAGCTGGCTAAAAGCCCACCGCTCAGAAGGTCGAAGGTTCCAGGGTTGAACCAAATACTGTCATTCTGTTCTTCGAAAAGGACATATTGTCAAACTGCTTCTAAGTATGTTCAGACCCACAGGTCAGCATTGCTTTCAACCCTGGCCAGAGAAGCTTCTCTCTGTGTTAATGAAGAGATCTGGTCAAAGTACTGACATGAGTGTGTGTGGAGTGCTCAGTTCTAAACACAGCATCTCCATCACCCCTCACCAACACTCAGGGAACACCTTAGAAAACAGAAGGAAGGAACAAACCAAAGGGCTGATGGATGGGAAGGAGTGCTGTGAATGCTATCTTTCAGATATGACATAACCACTATACCCACAAACTCATTCAACTATGGTTACCTATGCACGACCAAGTCAACAGGATGGGTCAACATTCCAACCGGTCAGCACTAGCTGGACTTACATCATTACTAACAATAACAACTAACATAACAGGGTTGAGGATATCTAGGAGAGAGGGATACATTGTTTACATTGCTAAATTGCCAAAGAACAAATAAAAGTTATTCTATTGGAAAAGAAATGACAGATGCTTCATTTTCAGCATCCTCTGATGGGACCAATAGGAAGCCCTGTAACATCTTCCTGGTAAAGCAACTCAGACTTATCATTACTACTCATCATTAACACTGTCTCCAACCTAACATTTAAATCCTCATAACTACACTCAGCACCTGCTCCCTGAGCTGGACCAAGACCTCGATGGCCTGCCAGCTCTAGTCCTTGCCGGTCTAGGTAGTTTCTTCATTGTGCTGGGATTCCACACTCCCAGAACACTGCTCTTCCTTGAGTTACTAGACTACTGTTTGCTCTTCAGCACCACAGCACCTCTGCAAGTGCTGCTTTTTCTGGAAAGCCTTCCCTCCTATTAGCTCCTACATATCCTTCATTCTCAGCTCACATCCTGGTTTGTCAGGGAAACCAGTATCCTTGATTGCTCTCACTCGGGAGTCCCTGCCATAAACTTTGAGCATTCCTTATTTGCAGGAGTACTGGATCCATGCCCTTCTCTTCCTGGCCAATGGCTTTCAAAGCAGGATCTCCCTCAGAAGGACATCTGGGTTACCAAGAATCTGAGGCCACCCTGGACTACCGGGTGAAACCAAACCAAACCAAACCAAAGATTCTCTAAACCACAACAATAGGAGAAGCTATTAGAAATGGAAAAATTTCAGGCCACATCCCAGACCTGCCGAATAGAAAACAAAGTGTTTTCAAAAACCCACGGGGTAACGCTGATGCACTCAAGTGTAAGAAGCTTGGCTGAACTACTGGGTCCAGGTTCTGTACCACCAAATCAAAAGCCTGCACTCGTGCTGTGCCTTGCTGCCACCATGTTCAACAACTGACAATGTTCAAGCCCCGAATGAAATGTGCTGGTGGACTGAACGACTGGTAAAAACTCATGGGACACCTCCAAAAACTCCCTGCTTATTAATTCTAAACACCAATGCCTCACCGTAGAAGCCCTCCATAAGTAAATCAACACTGAAATTGCTGCCCAAGGACCTGAATTCTAAGCCCCAGATCAAGGTCTTTTGGGAGCTGGAATGAATCTTGACTCAGACTAATAAAGGCGCTAATTTCTCATGCTCTAAATTTTCTCACCGATAAGATGGTAATAATCACCCTATCACCCACATCTTAAGGTATGTGAAATAATCAGCTGTGGTGGTGGCAGGAGAAGAATCACACCTGCACATACAGTTAAGCACTCAGCTAACTTAGGCATTACTATTATCACAGTAATAATTAATCAGCAGGAAGGGGTCTTTTTCTTGAATGTGAGTTCTTTTCAACACAGATCACAGTTGAGGCTAGTTCTCCCTTCCCTCCAGACCTAAAACTTCTCCTAGCAACCAGAAGCCTTTCCAGAGCATCCTGGCTCCTCCTCCTGGATCAGCTGAGCTGTAGCAGGCTGGCTGCATCCTACCAGCACCTTCATCCCATCAGCTAAACTCACTTTCCTAAGTACCTACTCACCAGGGAATCAGAGCCTGGAAACTCCCATCACTTACCAGGTTTCATTTGGGTATGTCTACCAAGGTGGCCAGGATTTAGAAGCAGCTCCCACTGAGAGCTATTCTTAGCCCAATTTTGGTACTTTGTAAAGTATTAATAGCAGCTATTATATCCCCAATGTATAGCTCAAAAACAACAACAATAACAACATAAAATAAAATAGAACTTTGCCTCCTCTGAGAAACTGAGGGTCCCTCACCTGCCTTCACAGTGACTTTACCCCCTCTCCAGATAGCCAGGCTGTGAGGACCCAAAGGACGCGCGCCCCGCCCGGTTCTCTAAGCTGTGCCTCCTTCCCGCTTGGCCCTATTCCCACCACGCCGGAGGAGTACCTGGAAAGGAATGGGGCGGGGTGGGGGGGCTTGAACACCAGAACATGGCAACACAGGACATCCACTGGGGATGGCAACACTCGGCTCCCCCAGAGTTAAATGCTGAGTAATTTTCCTGCGTAGCAGTCAGAGCGGGGACCCTGCCAATGGCTACAGTATTTTTATCCTACTTAACCAGCACCGTCTCCAAGGGTGTTCCGGAGCGGCACTCTCCAGAATCGCTAACCCGGACCGAGCAGGCTCCCCGGACGCCATGGACACCGTGGCCAGTAAGAGCTGCCGGGGACAACGAGGTC